AAAATTCCTAACCGTAATAATAATTACAAAATTAATATTTTAAGCTCAAACTTTAAAAAAATAAGATTACATACCAACAGTTACTGTTAGTCAGTTAATAAAGTTAAAATTCCCAACCGTAATGATAATTACAAAATTAATATGTTAAGCTTAAACGTTACAGACTATATTAGTTAGGCCTAAAGTACAAGGTACCGAACAAAATGTAAATGTGATAAGTGAAAATAAAATCGTGAATTTCCGTATTTGCCTTTCATTTTTAATTAAAATAACTTTTAAATTAAGTTTACTTACGTTACATTTTTCTAATAAGTCATATTATTATTAGTACTTTTATAATTAGAGAGTTTTCCAAATTAATTATTTTTAATTTTTTCATATAACTGTCATAAATAATTTGGTAAAATTGTAAAGCAAGGGAAAAATACCTTTTTAATATTAATCCTCATTGTCTTAGCGGAATAGATGTTTTAAAACTTGTCCTTTTACCATGTGGCTACTTTTATGTTCTAACGTAACAAAAATGATCAAAAGATATGCTTTACTGTAGAATTTTGTTGTGATTTCTTTTTAAATTTGTACCTACTTTCATGTCTTTTATGTTTCTATTATTGGGCATTAAGCTTCAATAAGTTGATAATGTAAATGTTGAACACGAGGAATAAAAATCTCGGAGGTTAGCTTGTGCAATAACTTATCGTATGTACAACAAGAAACCATTTGGTCCTTCAGAGTTGTCCCCGAGGGTTCAATGGTATGTCTGAAAGCTTATAATGCTAAAAACCTGGGTTTTGATACCTTTGGTGAACACAGCATAGACAGCCCATTGTGTAGCTTTATGTTTAAAAACAAACCTTCAAGGGTCTCTATACTTATCCATTCCTGAAGATAAGTAAAAATGAAAATTTTAAACCTACTCCTATATTTTGTAAGGAATTCATCAATTACCCTCTTATACTGCTATAAGTTCTTGAGTAGCTAGAAGGTGCCAAAAGATCGGGAGTTAGTCCAGGTAACTATAGATCTATTGGTCTTAATAAGTGGTGACAAAAATTCATGAAAGGCTGATAAAGATGTTTTGCAAGCTTATTTAAAAAATTTTGTTGGATACTCAACATGATTTCAACATTCTTTGAAAATGTTCTATTTAAGTAGATGGTGTGGATTTTCAGAACCTGTTTGAAAAGTTGCCAGATGAAAAACTTATTTAAAAAATTGTCTCTATAGGTGTTGGGATAAATTGAACTTAAAAAATGCCTGGATGGAAGAAAGCAGAAGGTTTTAAATGGAGTTTAGTCAAATTGGATTAATGTCACAAGTGGAGTAATTAGGGGCTGAGTGCAAGTATCTTTGCTTTTTACATCAGTGACATAGATACTTCACAAAAAGATTTGTATTATTTGTTGATTGAACAAATAAATAACAGATGGCTTTTAATTATATTAAATGCAAAGTATGCATGTGAGGTTACATAATTATTATTTTCATGGGAATAACCTTATCTATGTTATGGAAGAAATGGATCATGGTATTTTGGTTGATCAGTCTTCTCTTAAGCTATCCAAGGAGTAGGGCAAATAAAATTTTAGGGTATTTTTAGAAAAATATTGAATACAAGTCTAAATGGTATATAATTTCATTGTATAGGTCACTGGAGTATCGTGTTCAGTCTTGGGCTCCTTAACTTAAGAAGAACAATGAATTTTTGGGAAAGGTTCAAAGGAGGGTTACTAGGATGATACTTGGGATGAAAACATTGTCACAGACAAGGAAAGATTAAAATCTTAAAAAGAGGTGATTGTGGTGTTTAAGATTGTTAAGGAAATTGATAGTGTTGAAGCATCACTTTTTATCATATATAATGGTGAAAATGTAGGACAAAGGGACACAAATATATATTTTGGAAGGGTAGGAGTCATTTTTCAGCTAAGAAAGTTCTACTTTCCAAACTGGGTGGTTATCCTTTAAAGCGAGCTGCCTTTAGATGTGGTGGATGCAATAAATTTAAGGGAGTTTAATGGATGCTTGATAAATATTTGAATGTTAAGAGCTGACTTTGAGTATTTTATAGTAGATGGAATGTCCCAGATGAGCCATAGGTTCCTTATTGTCCCTAACTTGTACGTTATGTTACTTGTGTTCTGTATTGGGATTGTAATTAAAATGCCAAGTCTAAATTTTTGGGCAAATTTATCTTGCAGCCTTACCATTCCTTTTAAATTGGTCTTTGGACAGCTTGCATTACTGAGGATGTATAATGTACCTCCTCTCATAGTATTTGCAGAGTAAATGTTTAATAGTACACGAAAGATAGTTAAGTGTAATACAATGTAAAAACAAGGATAAACTGTATCAAAGAAAATACTTAATTCATAACTGTGATACCTTTTTGTTGTAGTAAATAGTAAATTAAACTAATTTGGTATGCATTAGGTGACTGAATAGAGTAAGATTTACTATCACATAAAACATTTTAGTTAAATACTCAATAATATTCATTATTAATTATGAAAGCTTTAAAAGTGATATTATGAATAAGAAAACAGTAATAAATAGAAATATGATGGATCCTTTACATTCAAATAACTATCCATTTTTTGGCTGATTGAATTTCTGTTATCTTGTGTATGATATTTCCCAGTATTTGGATGTGATTTGTGCTTCTCAGTTAGGTTGAGAGTGAAAATTCTAATTGTTCTTAGTTAAAAACAGGAGTGTTAACTTTGTAATTTTAAGTAAATATATAATTCAGGAGTAAGTTTGTTTTTATTCAATGCCTTTATATCTTTAGTTTATTAATTCTTGAGTTGATACTACTTGTACCATTATTTTTTTTTTCAGTCTCTAACCTCTATAAAACAATGGTGGTAGCAGACCAAGGAAATTGGGTGGCAGATGTTGTGGTTGTGATTGAGGGAACAGCAAACATCAGTCCTTATATTGAAAGTTTAAAAAACAATTATATTGTTCCAACTCTTGAGTAAGTAAAAACTTAACTTTAAATTATTTTATCTCAGCAAATTAAGATTATAAAAATAAAAATGGATAATTTTGTTTAAAAAAAAAAAGATTACTTAGCACTTACTGTTCAGCACGTATTAGATGTTATAACTACATTTTGTTGTAATCAATAATTTTTCTTGAAAAAGTTAATTAAGAGATCAAACATAGATAAAATTTAAAATATTTTACAGGAATAAAAGAAGACCATGAGTATGTTTTGTACTCTCAACTCATTTGTAATACTTTTTGTTGATTGATACGTTACAATACATAATACA